CAAACTAATGGGGTGAAAGGTCAAACTATGATTTTGTGTGTACTACTGCTTTACAGTACCTACACAGAGCTTTACTTTCATCCCCACCAATTGATCGTATATGGTCTTTAAGTTCTTGTTCCTTCTTCCAATCTTTGTTGTATTTTGTTTACGTACTCAACACACTGACGATGGCAGGTCCAACACGCTGTGACCGTGAGAGAGGCTGACTTTGAGGGCCACAACATGATTAACGTGTCATCAGTTTTTCTCCCATGAGGACAATAAATGGGTGGGATAGACCCACTTGGGGATTTATAGCAGGGCGATCCCCCTGCAGCTTCGATATTATTTGTCAGGCTTATAGCAAACAGTGTTAATCAATGCATGGGGGAAAAAAGAAGTCATGCATATCAAAAAATTGACTTACTTGTTAGATACTAATAACAAGCAACTCAAGTTTTTAAAATAAGCTCTAAAAAAATTTCCAAGCGACTTCCCTTAAAAAAAAGCAACCCAATGTTGTGGACTATGCGGACCTGAACCTCTGACTGACATCTAGAATCTTTTTCTGAGGTGCGGTTGATGTGACTGCTGTGTTTGTAATATGTTTTAACTGTATGATGCACAATATTTCAACTCATAATTAAACATATACTACACCAAGGGTTCAATGTCAAATTGTCACACTTAAAAAAACTTATTGGAAGTATAAAGATGAGAGCATTATGCGTGATTATTTCAGTTGCAGTTGAATATGAAAAGCAATTTCTTAAACACATTTTTCACCAAAGTCAGCTAATAATGTGATCAACACTAAAATGGTCTAATGGTCTGTATTTATATAGCGCTTTTATATTCTTGCTGACCACTCAAGCACTTTACAGTACAGGTTATTGCCATTTACCCATCACTACTACATGGCTCTACGTAACTTATTATAGCATATTAAATTAGAAATGCCAGACTGCAGTATTATTGCCTCCACAACAAGTGTCAGCCTTCATAATTTCACGAATACACCATGACCTTTGTCACCATGAAAGGAATTCCCTAAAGGCAGACTAGAGATATCAAGTTCAAAGGGCCAAAAACATATTTGTGAGGCCACAGTGACCTTAACCTTCATTCAAATGTGATTAGTTGATCTGTGAGTCAAAGTAAACATTTGTGCCAAATTCAAAAGGATTTTTCTCAAGGCATCCTTAAGATAACACAATCACGATGCAATAAAAAAGAGAGTTGTGTTGGGTCACAGTAACCTTGACCTTTCACCTCCAAATTCTAATCAAGAACTGTGGGTGTTCCTGGTATATCACTTTTTAAAAAATGAGGTCACCATGACTTTGACCTTTGACCTCTAACCACCAAATTCTTACTTCCTTATGTGTACATTGTGTATGCCTACATTTAAGATAACTCTGAAAGGCAAACTCTTTCAAAGACATGAGACAAAAATTGTGTGGTGTGGAATGGACCAATATAAGTATTTAGGGAATGTGTTGGTTTCAGTTAATTTCATGAAATTTATTGAGATCAGCCCAAACCCAGATTCTTAGGTTTGTTTATGTGTACAACTTTGCTTACCTCGAATGGAGTGTAGTATTCATAAAGCAAATACCAAGGTCGTGGTCTCGGGTATTGTCTGACCAGGTGCATTTCTGGTGGGTAAGCATGAAATGTTTGTCTTCCCTTCACATCTCTGGTGTCTACAGGTTCCACCTTCATGGTCTCCATACACTGTCCCAAAGCCATGTCCTCGATGCTGGAGAAGTGGGTACATTTCCCAGAGCTGAAACCTTTGATAAATCTTCTCAGTGCTTCCTTACTAAGGACATAACCTGCTCCTCCAGCCATGTAGCCTTGACTAATAAAAGGGGCAAATCTTCTGCCAAAGTACAATGGCTTCTCTGTATCATATTCGGACAACGTGTAGCGCAGATTCTCTACTACCATAAATGTGTCATCATCTGCTTTCAGGAACCAGTCTGCTTCTTCCATGTGGTGCTGATGGATGTACTGAAAAGCTCGAATGGTCTTCCAGTACAAGTTTTCCCTTCCCTCACTCACGTTTAGCCCCACAGTGGGGAAGTCTGTCTTGACCGAGCTCATGTACAGCACTTTGTTGCAGCGCTTTGCCCACGTTTCTTTGATGTGCTTGGTTCGGGATTCCATGTACTTGGGTCCCGTCATGATCCAACATAAGATGCGTGTTGTGTCAGCTGGATTTGCTTCTAAGGTGTTGTTCTCACCTGGAAGGTATAACAAGCTCAAAATTCACAGAAGTCACAAATGTCACTGGCTGTTAAATTAAAAGTTTAACTGAATATGCATGAAATATCTACATAGTCACTTCATGTATTACAGTTTTCTATTCATAGTAACAATACCTCCAATAATCAATTAGTGAGACCCAATGTGCAAAGTTTCCTCTTTATCATATAAACTGCATCCTCTGTCCCAATGCTACACACAGTACTCTCTCTGGGGCTTGTTTTGCAGCTTTATTTGTAACATTCAGATGTATTGACAGGGTCGTGGTGCTAGTGGCCTCTATGGAGCCACACCTGTGCCTTGACTAAATCACTATTATGTTCCAACATAACTATCAACACTCAGCAGATAGATAGATAGATAGATAGATAGATAGATAGATAGATCCCGAAGGAAATTCAAGCATCCAGTGGCAGTAACATATGGGGTGCTGTTTGTAAAGCAGCTCACTCTGAAAATAACAGCAACATTTTGTCACATTTAGCTTCAAACCATGTTTAAAAAACTGGTGTGAATTTTTGAGAGTCACTTTTTTGCACATTTACAACAATATTTGTCAACTTAGAGATATTTTAAATATTTAAACCCAATGTTAAATGTTACACTTAAATGTTAAATGTTAAATCTAAATGCTAAATCTAAATGTTAAATCTAAATCTAAATGTGCAATCTAAATGTTAAATCTAAATCTAAATGTGCAATCTAAATGTTAAATCTAAATCTAAATGTTAAATCTAAATCTAAATGTTAAATCAGAATCGAAACCTAAATGTTGAATCTAAATGTTTTCGGGTGAAACTAAATATTTAACTAATATGCAAATTCAAATGCCGGTAACAGGAAGTACCAAAATAAAAGCTCGAGGAGGTCAGAGTGTGTTTATAGTGGCAAATAACGAAAAAAAACCATCTTATCCAGGGAAATGGACTCTTGGACATATCGGAATATCGTGGTAATAACTACATAAAATAACAAACACGTTTGGGGAAACTTTATTTGAAGAGTACTTTGAGTTTTTAGTGTCACTTTTATGAAGAATGCGGGAYTTATGACCTGTAGCCACTATAGCCAGCCACAAGGGGGCGCACTTTGACTGATCTGTCATGTTCGCCCGCCTCCACCCGGTACACTCTCCTGTCGGCCATGGTCGCTTTGCAAACATGTCGATGAATGAATCGGCGTTAGCGGAGAATATCGGCAGAGCCGTTCTGGCAGCAATCCAAAATTTTTCCACAGTGACGGCAACAGCCACAGGGCTGCCACAGGCCACCTAAGTAAGTATGTTTTCCAAATCACGTAGCATTGGATTCTTGTCCAGGCTACGTGATTTGGAAAACATATTTAAACACACTCTGACCTCCTCGAGCTTTTCTTTTGGTACTTCCTGTTACCGGCATTTGAATTTGCATATTAGTTAAATATTTAGTTTCACCCGAAACATTTAGATTTAACATTTAGATTTAATATTTAGATTTAGATTCAGATTTAACATTTAGATTTAGATTTAAATTTAAGATTTAGATTTAACATTTAGATTTAACATTTAAGTGTAACATTTAACATTCGGATTTAAATATTTAAAATATCTCTAAGTTGACAAAAGGGTTGTAAATGTGCAAAAAAGTGACTCAAAAATTCACACCAGTTTTTTAAACATGGTTTGAAGCTAAATGTGACAAAATGTTGCTGATATTTTCAGCGTGAGCTGCTTAACAAACTGCACCCCATAGTAACATACATTGAACCTACATTAGACTTGACTATACATTAGAGTTAACTTATAACACAATAACCATACATTGAAATTGGCCTGAGATGACTGTAAATTTAATTGTGTACAGAGGAATTAAGGAAATTTAATTAAATTAAACAATTATAGCAAAATTTTAATTTCACATAGAAATCAAACATCTGCATAGGATTTAAATATATACAGAGGAATTAAAAATGTGCAGGAATATTTAATATTGAATATTAAAGTTAAAAAAAAATTTAAATATGCATGGAAGTGTGAAGTTAACCCGTGCTGATCGTCTATACAAAAACGATATAAAAAAAACTAGAAAGTAGCTGTAGAAATAAAAAAAATTTATACAACTATAAACTATATCAAAAATATAAAGTGATAGTAGGAGATTGGGATAAATTGGGATTAAGGGCTGTGTGCAATTAAATTAGGTCTCAAACAGATGAATGAAATGAATGAATGAAAGTCAGAGCATGTAGCAGAGGTAGTCAGACATGGCAATGACAGAGAGTCCAGGAAGTTGTGCAAAGAGATTAATCCATTGTCTATTGTGCCTCCTGCCATCAGTGGGAGCTGTTGTACAGTCTGATGGTAACTCAGGTAGCTCAGGTAACGCAAAGTCTAATATGTATAAATTGTAAATCAACCAATCGTAAATGTTACTGTCTGTCATTGTTTTCTTATATTGTGCTGTGCTGCTGCCGGTCAAATTCTGCCTCCGTGACAAATAGCTTTACTTGCCACTTACGTTGTTTATCATCAGGATGATGCAATGTGTTGCTTCAAAAGTAATTGTACTTCCTTGTACATACTTTCCATCACGACACAGAAAGTATGTACAAGGAAGTATAATTACTTTTGATACTTGCTGATAATTTACTTCTGACCTTATTTTGCAAGTAAACATTTGAATGCCAAACTTTCACTTGTAATGGGTTGCCTTTACCGAAAGGATCCGAATACCTTTTCAAACACTAGTTGCTGATAGTGCCACAACAAACAAATCCTTTACCTGCTTTCCCACTCACAATCACAGCCCTTGGGACATTATTTGAGCAGACTTTTTGAAATAGATGCAGTTTTAGAAGTGATTTTTCTTAGCCTTAAAAAAAGTTCACTTTTAATTTAGATAATACCCTCTGCTTTGTAATGAGGCTTCTCGACTGTCTTTGATGTTTTCACAGTAAAAGAGCCTCTATCAGGAAAACAAAGTGAAAAATGATTCAGACTCACACTTTTGCAGCCAGTGGGTCTATACAGTCTACAGTTCTTATAACTGGCAATTCTTAGTCTTACTTATACTGACAACCAGAAGTGAATTCGGGAAAATGGCATTAAATTGAGTCACTTTAAATCCTATGTCCATATTCCATGTACCAAAATTGAATATGATAGTTTTGAATAGGATTCTAAACACAACATGTACATTACACAATAACATGTATGGCAATTTTTGAAAAACATTCATTCAAAAAAGTAAAACAAATCCTACCCGTATAATGATGGTGTTGACTTTCTGCTTCCTGACTGACATTATGCTCCACATCCCTCAAAAGATTTAGGACCTGTTCTTGTGAAATGTTCAGGTCCAACAGAAAGCGAAGGCAGAGAAATCCAGTCATCAGTCCATAGGTGAACTTTAATCGAGACAACTTGTGCCTCATCCTCATGGTCATTCAATCACCCTCAGCTGGATGGTGTATGTGGTTACCTGCTCTGCAAATATGAGATAAGCTCTTTAAATAGCAGGAGCTGTGTGAATAGTTATCATTTGAAGCTGTGTTACCTGGTCAGGCATGAGACAGAGCCACTTCTCTGCTTCTTTCTTCAGACGAACAAAGAGTGAGACCTTCTCTCTCCCACACAGGTGTGTCTGTGATTACACCTCCTCACCGTCAGGCAAGGCGGAGCAACAAGAAACAGGAGGAGGAGGAAAGAAGAACATTACATATGCCCAAGGTGTTATGGAAGTTTTGTGGAAGCTGGTGAAAGGAGAACTCAGGCAGCAGCTGATTCTGTCTTATGCAGAAGATTTGAATGTAGACTTGATGCATCAAAGAGACCAGAAGGTGGAACAATATACAAACGCTAACAGAGTAACATGAGACATTGTCACCCCCAAGTCTGAAGATGTCTCCCACAGCGTCCCCATATATCTTCCTCTATACTTGTGTCACACATTCTTACAGCACATCCATGAATGGCTAGAATTACTGTCACTCTCTATGTTACATGAGGTGTAGTTAAGTCTAAGTATGCATTCCACCGCTAAAACACATTTTAATCTTGAATTCAATGTGTTGGAAAAGTACATTTTATACTTTGTGGTCTAAAACTTTTGTGACGTGAACCTCTTGCCACTTTTAGATGACTTAATAAACGTCTGATGACTGAATCACACTCATTCCTGGCAGAACCAATCTGAACTGGCTCAGACAACAGCTTTGGTTCTCTTGTATAAGATGCTTTCATTTGACTGGCCATCAACACTATGCGATCCTTGTGACTCTGTGTTGATCCTTTCTGCAGAAAGCTCCTAATAAAATACACAAAGACAATTTGGTAATCCAACCTCACAGTAAACTTTGAAGATCTACTGTGATTTCAGTTGCTTCATATTGAACGTTGTCAACTGTGCTGTATACCAAAGCAAACAAACTCTAGAAATGCCTTACAAGACACAAGAACAGGTTTGTCAAAGGGTGCGTCAAGAGAGAAGCTGTCAGGATGTTTTAAGATTGCATGTGATAAACTTCATCGTGCAGCAGGTCACATGCACCGCATTGACTTGAATACTGCAGTTACACCCAGTTTATCTGATCACAGCATTATCTACTTACCACTATGCTCTTATTTAGGTGTGGGTGAAGTGTTTGAGTCAGTCCACAAAGCACTTTTGGAGTTTCAGGGGTAAACAGCGTTGCAGCCGCAGCCAGATCCAACAAAATTGAAGTAAATGGTGACCAATTCTTCAAATGTGAAAAACAACAGAAAATGCCTCCATACTGTCTGTGGTGTCATCCAAGTGTCTGTATGCCCCAGAATTCAAATTCGACCCGAAATGGCTTTATTTACATCCCTATATTTTCATAGCAGCAAAAGTAAGCTAAAGCTGTCATTGACTAAAGTGTTTTTATTTGGTTTTTTCATAAACAGGCCGGTGAGAGTGCTTTTAAAAGGGGAGTGGGCAAGGCTTTGGGAAGAAGACAGTAAGAAGCAGATGGAGTATCCCTCACCTGAGCACTATAGGAATTAGAATTTAGTTCAGGGTGAAGTCAGATGAGCTTCCTGAGATGGAGTGCCTGGGTAACAAAAGGAAAATAGCTAAGATTAAACCACCCAATAATCCTCAAAAACATTAAAACCACAGTAAAATAATACCAGAGTGTCCCCTTGTTTGCATTTTCTCCTTACTCTCCTTCTTCCATTAAAAATCCTTTACCAGATCAGTTAGTCTGTTAGATTGACTGGAATGTCAAAACATCTATTAACCTCTATACTATTAATATCAGAGCTAAGTGTTTAGCTCATTAATGTGACCCCAGACTTTAGCAGCCAACATTTGTCACATGTCTTGCCTGAAGAATTTTGAAGTTTTTCATGCGCGATACCTCTCCGGTACAGCAGGTGGCGGTAAGGCCTCTATTTCCCCACTGTGTAGAAGAAGCACAGTTTCCGGGATAAACAAGAACATGTGTTAAATAACTATCCTTGTATGTGAAGCCGCAAACTCAGCTCTGTCTGACGCTGCTCCTGAGTTTGTATCTGAGTCTTAAACCGGTGCTGCTTCTTAATGGCGGTTTCTACTCATGTCTCTCAAGTCCGCTCGTTGTACAAGAGGATTCTGGTCCTCCATCGCTTCCTGCCCATTGACCTGAGAGCCCTCGGGGACCAGTATGTGAAGGACGAGTTCAGGAGACATAAAGGTGCATCACCCGAGGAGGTGAAGAGCTTCATGGTTGAGTGGCAGGTAATGGACCTCAGTGAAAAAACTCAGTACGAAATAAACGTAGCGAGGCAGGTGTGTCTGTGTCTGTCTGTGTGTGTGTGTGTGTGTCTGTCTGTCTGTCTGTGTGTGTGTGTCTGTCTGACTGTCTGTCTGTGTGTGTCTGACTGTCTGTCTGACTGACTGTGTGTGTGTGTCTGACTGACTGTGTG